CGTGGAGGACTGGTATGGTCATCTAACTATATCCGCAGTGTACTGCCCGCCGAAACATTCCATCAGGCAGGAGCAGTTTAAAGACTTCTTCGATACGCTCGGCCCAAGATTCATAGCAGGTGGTGACTACAACGCCAAGCACCAACAGTGGGGATCCAGACTTGCAACGCCTCGGGGTAGGCAGCTACTAAAGGCTATGAACAGCGGCAGACTGGATCACATCTCGACGGGAGAGGCAACGTGCTGGCCGTCGGACGTGAGAAAGACCCCGGACGTACTCGACATCTGCGTGACTAAGGGCATCTCGAGGAACTATTTGCAGGCCCAATCGTGTCTGGACCTCTCCTGGGATCACTCACCGGTTATCATAACGCTGAATTCTGAGGTATTCAGCAGGGAAGTGCCGCCATTCCTCCACAACAACCGTACCGACTGGGAACATTTCAGACTGCTGATNNNTTAAGAAGGCGATTGCCGAGAAGAGAAGACTCCGACGCATATGGCAGAATAGCAGACTACCGATCGACAAATCCGTTTTCAACAATGCAACGAAAGACCTCAAAGAGATGCTGTGTAGGTACAGAAACCAAAAATTCCAGGACTATATCAAAAATCTGTCCGGAACACCTGTGACGGACTACTCGCTGTGGAAAACCACTAGATGCATTAAGCGACCACAGACCCGGATTCCACCGATACGGAAGACCGATGGCAGCTGGACGAGGAGTAGCAGAGAGAGGGCGAACGTGTTCGCGGAACACTTTGTGAACGTGTTCCAACCCTTTCCAGACGAGACGTCCGTTGACGAATCGGGCGAGATCAATGAATTCTTGGAAGCTCCGTTCCAGATGTCATTCCCTATAAAACCAGTACGACCATTCGAGGTGATGGATGTCATCGGGGACCTAAAACCGAGTAAGGCTCCTGGCTACGACCTAATAACGGGAAGGGTGATGAAGGAGTTACCCAGAAATGCCATAGTGTTGCTGACAACCCTATTTAATTCCCTGCTGAGAACGGGTTATTTTCCCTTCCACTGGAAAGTCGCGCGCCTCGTCGTCATACCGAAGCCGGGAAAAGATCCAGAGGAGGTCTCGTCCTACCGACCCATCAGCCTGTTGCCGGTGATGTCCAAGGTTTTCGAGAGGTTATTGCTCCGGAGGATCTGTCCATTCTTGTCCGAGGAGGGTGTGATTCCGGACCACCAGTTCGGATTTCGACGACATCACTCCACCATCGAGTAGATCCATCGCGTGACGAACGACATCAGACGATCCATGGAGGAAAAGCAGTATTGCTCCGCTGTGTTCCTTGACATAACACAAGCCTTCGACAAAGTGTGGCACGCGGGTTTGCTCTACAAAATTAAGAGTACGCTGC